ATATACACACACACATGTATACATATATGTATATATACATGTATACATATACATATATATGTATATATATACATGTATACATATATATATACATATATATGTGTGTATATATATATATATATATATATAACTTCTTTAATTTCCTGGTTAACCCATTCATTCATTAGTAGGATGTTCTTTAACTTCCATGTATTTGTGGTCTTTCCAAATTTTTCTTGTGGTTGACTTTAAGTTTTATAGTGTTATGATCACAAAATATGCATGGCATGATCTCAATCTTTTTGTACTTGCTGAGGCCTGATTTATGACCCAGTGTGTGAACTATTCTGCAGAATGTTCCATGTGCACTCGATAAAAATGTGTATTCTGCTGCTCTATGATGAAATGTTCCGAATATGTCTGTTAAGTCCATCTGGTCCAGTTTGTCATTCAAAGCTATTGTTTCCATGTTGATTTTCTGCTTAGTGGATCTGTCCATTGTTGTGAGTGTTAAATACCCTACTATTAATGTATTATTATCAATGAGTTTCTTTGTGTTTGTTATTAATTGTTTTATATATGTGGGTGGTATGTTGGGAGCATAAATATTTATAATTGTTAGATCTTTTTATTGGATAGGCTGTTTTATCATGATATATTGCCCTTCTTTATCTCTTCTTACAGTCTTTGGTTTAAAATCTAGTTTGTCTTGTATAACTATGGATACTTTGGCTTTCTTTTGATGTCCATTAGAATGACAAATGATTCTCCATCCCCTCACTTTTAATCTGCAGCTGTCTTTAGGTCTAAAATGTGTCCCTTGTAGTCGCCAGATAGATGAGTCTTGTTTTTTTTTTTTTTTTTTTTTCTTTTTATCGATTCTGATGCCCTATGTCTTTTGTTTGGAGTAATTAAACAATTTACTTTGAGAGTGTTTATTGATAGATATGAATATAGTGCCATTGTATTACTTGTAAAGCCAGTGTTTCTAGAGATTTTCTCTGTTCCTGTCTTTGGACAGTCTGTTGCTTTTGGTCTTTCTTTCCCACTCAAAGATTCTCCTTTAATATTTCTTACAAGGTTGGTTTAGTGATCAGATACTCCTTTAGTTTTTGTTTCTTTGGGACACTCTTTAGCCCTCCTATTCTGATTGACAGCCTTGTTGTACAAAATATTCCTGCCTGGATATTTTTCCACTTTAGCATGTTGAATATATCATGCCACTCCCTTCTGGCATGATAGGTTTCTGTGGAGAGAACTGTCAGGAACCTTATTTATCTTCCCTTGTGGTTTAGGGCTTTATTTTCCCTTGTCTCTTTCAGCATTCGTTTCTTATCTCTTTATTTTGAAATTTTTACTATGGTATATCTTGGTGTTGACTGGCTTTTGTTGATTTTGATGGGAATTCTCTGTGCCTCTGTAATTTGCATGTCTTTTCTCACCGAGATTAGGGAGGTTTTCAGCTATAATTTGCTCAAGTCAACCTTCTGCCTCTTTTCCCCTCTTTTCTTCTTCTGTGACTCCTATGATACAAATGTTATTACACTTAATAGTGTTGCTGAGTTCCCTATGTCTACATTCGTGGTCCAATATTTTTCTTTCCCCCTTTTCAGCTTCATTATTTTCCATAATTTAATCTTCTAATCACTTATTTGTTCCTCTACTTCTTCCATCATCTGTTCAGTACATCAGTCAGTTTTGCATTTCAGTTATAGCATTTTTTATTTCAACCTTACTAGTTTTTAGGTCTTGTATCTCTTTGGTAAAGGTCTCTGATGTCTTCTATGCTTTTTTCAAGCCCAGCTAGTATCCTTATGATTGTTGTTTTAAATTCTAGTTCATTCCCATTAGTTTATCAATTTTGATTAGTTCCTTGGCTGTGACCTCTTTTTCTTTCTATTGGGATGAATTACTCTGTCTTTGCATTTATACTTGTCTCTGTCCTTTGTGCATTAGGAAATCCTGTTCCTAGTCCTATTTTTACTAGAGCTGAAGCTTTGCAGCACCCTAGGATCAGTACACCTGCGCTGTGTGTGTGTGTGTGTGTGTGTGTGTGTGTGGTGGGGGGGTGGGTTGTGCTGATCTTTTGAAAAGAGGTCTGCTGCTGCTCTGGCTGTCAGTCACACTTGCCCTATTAAAAAATGCACCTGCAGAATGCAGGGGGACATAGATTGGTTTGAGTGTCTCAAGCCTCCACTGTGTGTGCTGTGCTGCTCTCTGAAGTTCGTTGGTGCTATTGGAGGGGTGAAGAATTGTGTGGGCCCACTGTCTTCCATTGAGAGGGGCATTTACATCCCTTACTGTTCTGACCCTCACAAAAGAGCAGACAGTCTCCCCTCTTGTGTCCAAGGCTTCTGTCATGTCCCTGACTTCACCCTGTATCTGCAGTGTCTGCCGACCCAGTGGTGGTGCAGCGCTCCTTTTATCTCAGATGCGTGGCTGGCATTCACGGCTCCACAAATTTTAGTGACCCAGTGCGACAAGGACCCATGCTATCTCTGGGGGAGGGTCTTGCTGCACTGTGGCTGGTTGCAGTTTTTCCGAGAAAAGTAGCCGCACGAAATGTGCAGTAGCTTGGAGTTCATGGTAAAGCACAGCAAAAAAAACTGACATCCAGGTTACCTCTCCTCAGCATGTTTTTCTGCCCATATGCTAATAAATGGGGCAGCTCAATGGGAAGGCAGAGGCCCAAGAGCAGACACTATGCTCTGAGAATCCCCTGAATCACATGGAAGGGACAGTTCCCCTTCTTGGAGGGCATTTGGGAGAGGCTGCCCCAAGTGTTTTTCTTGTGCAGTGCCCTGCGTGCTGCTGTGCTGCTTTATCTCTCTCTTTCTCTCCCTTCCTCTCCCTCTTCCTCCCCCCTCCCACCCCAGGATTAGGACTCCCTTTCCTCTGTAGTCCCATGATTCTTTTTCCCCCCAGATCATATCACTGCATTTCTTACCTTCCATGTTGTGGCCTCTTTTCTCCCTGTAGTTGTGCAGTTTGTTCTCTCAGTCTTCAGATTGAATTCCTGGGTGTTCAGAATGTTTTTTTTTTTAAGTTTATTTATTTTTGAGAGAGAGAGAGAGAGAGATAGAGTGTGCCTAGGGGAGGAGAAGAGAGAGACGGAGATACAGAATCAGAAGCAGGCTCCAGGCTTGGAGCTGTCAGCACAGAGTCCGACCCAGGGCTCAAACTCACAAACCATGAGATCATGACCTGAGC